TCACGGGAGTGAATGGCTAATGGGTTCTGCTGCTAGAGGTGTTTCTTGGGTAAACTAGGCCTGAGCCCCCAGTGAAGCCTTGCGCTCTGAAATCCAGGATCCTCACGCTCATGCCCTTTGCAAGAAGCGTGTCAATTCAGTGTGACATGGACTTGCCTGCCTGCGAGTTGCACTGTATGGTTATTACGGTGGATTAGTTGCTTCGTTTAACGACTGGAGGTTGCAGACTGTGCAATGCCCCGGAAGCCTCTGGGTCCTCACTGTCTGGCACCCCAGGCTCCCCACGCCCTTGCAAAACTGGCCCAGACCAGGGAGGCCCTGCAATTCTGCAGAGGTGGGTGGAAGGGGAGCTGGGTGGAGGGGGACCGCCAGAATGTGGCTACTGCAGGGGAACCTGAACCTTCACCCGTCCCCTGTTGGGCCCTGTCGGGGGAGAGTTGGCAGCCCTGAGAGTTGGCGGGCAGGGCGGGTGTCTCGGGGATGCAGGATGGTACCTTTCTCCCGCTCTGTCCTCAGGTCTGGTACTTGTCTGAATGACCTATTAACTTGTAAAGCCTCAAAACGAGTTTCTTCAGGAATAGCCAAAAGAATTGCAAATCAGGATGTGCATACCACATCAAACCATAAATAAATCGGGAAAACAAAGCAGGGGAGCTGCCTTTATAGACAAAAAGGGGGAGTATGGAGCAGCTGTTCTAAAGGAAGTCCATCGGGGAAACTAACAGTTCAGGGCAGAAGGGCTTCCAGTTGGCTGATCTGCACTGGCTGAGCTGTGGCGCTTCTCATTGGCTGAGCTGAAGTGTTTCTCATTGACTGAGCTGAAGTGTTTCTCATTGGCTGAGCTGTGGTGTTTCTCATTGGCTGAGCTGTGTTGCTCATTGGCTGAGCTGTGGTGTTTCTCATTGGCTGAGCTGCAGTGCTTCTCATTGGCTGAGCTGTGGTGTTTCTCATTGGCTGAGCTGCAGTATTTCTCATTGGCTGAACTGTGGTGTTTCTCATTGGCTGAGCTGCGGTGTTTCTCATTGGCTGAGCTGTGGTCTTTTTCATTGGCTGAGCTGCGGCGCTTCTCATTGGCTGGGCTGTTGCCTGGTGGGGAGAGAAATCTTCCTTCAGTGGTAAAGTAGGGGTACTTCCCGTTGAGATGCAAGTGTCCATCTCCTCCTGTTTGGTGTCTTTGACGTGATGGAGTGAGAGCTCCCCCTACAGGCCTTACACTCCAATTTAGTTAGAGTTTCTCTTATTTTCTTTCTCTTTTTTAAAGATTGGCACCTGAGCTAACATCAGTTGCCAATCTTTTTCTGCTTTTCTTCTTCTTCTCCCCAAAGCCCCCGGATACAGTTGTATATCCTAGTTGTGAGTGCTTCTGGTTGTGCCATGTGGGATGCCACCTCAGCATGGCCTGATGAGCAGCGCTAGGTCAGCGCCCAGGATCCGAACCAACGAAACCCTGGGAGCCTAAGCGGAGCGTGCAAAAATAACCACTTGGCCACCGGGCGGCCCCCAAGGTTTCTCTTAATTTCCACAAACCTAAGCCGAAGAAAAACTGGCGCCTGCGGTGGAAACTACAGGGCTCGGCAAGCACGACTGTGCCGAGAGGTGCGCGCTCGGGTACCAACGCGCTGGGTGGTGGGCGAGGCCAGTCCTCACGAACAGGGACCGCCGCCCCGGCGTCAGCTGAACTGTAACCGACCACCCGTTTCTTGAATAACCTACATCCCCACACTTATGCGCCTGTGCTGAAGAATGACGAAACTCTCTGTTTAGAGAGTAGGACAAGGGCCAGGCAAGGGGTCAGGGGAGGCGCGCAGCTGCCGGGAAGCCAGGAGCGTTCCACGGAGACGCCGAGGCCCGCCGGCAGCAGTGTCCGTCCGCGGCTGTAAACCCTCCGCCACGCTCCCTCCCGCGCGAGTCGACTACGACTCCCAGGGTGCACCGCGGTTACCCCCGCGCGAAGGGACCACGACTCCCAGGGTGCCCCGCGCTCCCTCCCGCGCGGAGCGACTACGACTCCCAGGGTGCAGGGCGGTCCCTCCCGGCCGCGGCGACCACGACTCCCAGAGTGCCTCGCGTGCCTCGCGGACTACAAATGGACGCGGGCTGTGGCCACTGGCCGCTTACCGACTCCCAGAGTGACGCAGGAGGGAGCTCCGGGCGGAACTGGCAGGCGCGCGGACTACGGCGGCCGGCAGGGGGCGGTGGCGGTCGTTGGCCCAGGGTCCGGAGGCGAGGCCGCGGGCCTCAGGCGCTACGAGCCCGGCGGGCCACGACTCGGCCGCAGCAGGGTGCAGGCTGAGGCCATGGGCGACCGCGGCGGGGCGGGCGGCTCCCGGCGCCGGAGGACGGGGTCGCGGGCCTTGAGCCAGGGCAGCGGCGGGCCCGTGGCTGCGGAAGAGGAGGTGAGAGACATGGGCGCCGGGGGAGACGCGCCGGCCCCGGACAAGGACAAGGACGGAGACGACGACGTGGGCAGCGGCCACTGGGATCTGAGGTAGCGGTGCGCCTCACTCCTAACCTCTGACCCCTGACGCCGGTCCCCGCAACCCTCCCCGGTCCTTCAGCCGTGGCCGCAGCAGCGCGGGCTCCGGGTTCGAGAGCCTGGCCCCAGGACCTCGCGTGGACAGATGTGTCCCCTGGATCCCCGCGGGGAAACAGGCTTAGGGGTGGAGGGTAGGCTGCCAAGGTCACCCAGGTTGGGGCGCAGAGGGGGGCCGGCCGCAGCCTAGCTTCCAGATCCCCCACCCCCCGCAGGTCGTCTGGTGGGTCTCCAGGCTCTTTCCCTGGGTGAGCCAAGGGCCTGGCCCCTAGGCGACTGGTTCCTGCCATGCGCAAGTGTCTCCTGTCTGGAAAGAGATGGATGGGATTGGGAGGTTGGCCTGGGGCCCTGCTTAACAAATGCCTGCTGTAGAAGAATTGGATGCTGTATTGAAACTCTCGCACCCTGGTTGGGGAACAGGAGAGGGGTTTGAAGTGGGCACACCCACAGGTGAGTGCCCCCCTTAGTGAAGGACTGACAGGAAGCGGGTGGGGAGCAAGCTGTGGCTGATGGAGAGGACATGGCCCCTCTGGGCGTTGGCTCCCTCCTCCAAGCTGGCTCCAAGCAATGTCTTTGCCACCCTCCTGCACCCCCATCCCCTTCTGATTTTCACCCTGGCCCAGAGGCTCTCGAGGACTCTGGCTTTGGGAGCAGCTTCCGAGCTAAAGGTTATCGACAAGGAAGTGGGCAGTTGGTCAGTTGGTTGGCAAGGACTTGCTCTCTCAGTAAACAAAAACTGAGGCTTTCTTCACCCAGCACTGTGGGAGGGGGTGGGTCAGGGCAGCTGGCCTACAGGTACTGCAGGTACTGTCTCTGCCCTTGGGGTGCTCACAGTCCACCTGGGAGATAAGGTAATCTCAGCACCGAGTAAAGGTCAGGCACGGAGTTTGGAGATGGCAAAGGAGTTGGTGCAGGTGCCATGGGGAAGGAGAATGGTTCCACTGAGAAGGGTGCTTGTTTCCTGTGGGCCTGGGTGATGCTGAGAGAGGCTGCAAGGACAGGAGGGTCCTAGAGTGTTCTGCTAACTCCCTCCGCAAGATACCCTCTCCAGGAGGCAAGGGCATGTCTAGCATCATCTCCCCCTCAAGGGAGTGGGAACCGGGGTCATTTGTGTGAGATGGGGAGTGCCAGCTTTGGGCCAAGCTGCCACACTGGGATGGACAGTTACTTTCCTGCTCTACGTGGGCCAGGTGGTCAGAAGCCTCTCCTGTGCTCCTGCTAGTTGGGCCGAGTGAGCGGGAGCCCTGTCTGCCCACTCTCGAGGTCTGGACACCTGGGAAGAGGAGCAGTAGATGGCAGGGATGGGCCTGCCCAGGGCTGGGGGGCGGGGGACCCGGACATCACTGTCCCCTCTTGGTCTCTAGGACATGTGAGTTGTCTGTGCTTGGCCCTCAAACCTAGATTCCATAGAGTTCGGGGTCCCCTGGGGCTGCTCCCTACTTGTCACCCCCCTACTTCCCCTCCCCCCTGCTTATGGCCTTTCCTCCCCCTTCCTCTCGCCTCTCTTTTCTATACTTCCTGCTCGCCTTGGCCTGCCTGGGCAGGTTGGTCAGGCTCTGGGTGTGAGCTCATTTCTTCTGGCCCTAGCAAGGTGGAGCTGTGGGTCAGGAAGGAGAGAGCACCCCCTTTCTCTTCTGCCTTGTGGTTTACTTCTTCCAGGTGCTCCACACGCTCCCTCCAGGATGCTTGGGCACCCTCCAGCTCTTGGCTCACGGGCACTCCAGGCAGGGCCTTCTCGTTGTGGGGCTCTCCCAGGGTGTTTGTCCCTGGGGTGTCCTGTGTCTCTTCTTCTCCAGCAAGGTCTGAGGATGTGGGGAGCTTACCCAACCACCTTGTCCCCCAGGGCTCAGCCCAGAGGCTAGGTGTGCGGAGGAGTTGGCAGCTGGGAGGCGAGCTGACACTCTGCTCCCTCCTTGGTCTGCTTGGCCCTGGAGCTGGACCACTTGGTCCTCAGGTGTGGCCCACACTTGGGGTCTGGGCTTCTGAGCAAGCTTCGAACCCTGGTGAGCTCAGTTTCCCCCTGTGCCCTCCTCCAAGTGCTGATGTGATGGTTGATATGATACATGGGATGAGTTAGAATGGCCCTGCGAGCTGGGTGGGCCTGGGGAGCTGGTATGGGACCTCTGGAGGGCACAGAGCGTGAGCGGCCCCTGCAGTAAGGGAGAGGGTGACACAGCTGTGGGCATGGTGACCAGATCTTGTCTCCCATGCCAGCCGCTTTCCTCTGCCCTGTGGTCCACTGCCACTGACTGCACTGGCAAGGCTGGACCTTTGCGGTGGATGGTGAGCCTCCTCCCCTGAGTTAGGGCCTCTGACCTGTGGGGGAAGGGGGCTGTCTGGGGTTGGGGGTGGTCAGGAGCCCTGTGGAGAGGAATGTGAGGAGTGGGTGTGGGTGGGTTGGGGAAGGCTTTGGAAGCCTGACAGCAGGGAGCTGAGCTAGCTTTTATAACGTCATTTGCTGTTAGATTTGGAAAAGGACACCCTTTCCTCACCCCTGTTTTCATCTTAGAGATTGCCACAAATAAAGCCAGCATGGTCTTCTTGGTGGCCCAAAGGGGGCAGGGGGTCACACTGTTATGAAACAGTCCTCTGGGTATGCTGAGCGGGACGTCACAAGTTCAGACAACGGTTGGCAGCTTGTGGTACGAGGCAGCTTTGGGATGGTACCAGTGAAAGCGAATGGGCTTTGGGAAGGGGGTCAGGGAGGCCAGTCCAGCAGACAGCCCAGAGACTGTCCTCTCTGGGGAGTTGGGGCTTGGACCCCTGCTTGCCTTGCAGAAAGGCAGGTGCAGAGACTCAGGGAGAAGGCCTTGGGAGGAGATCACAGCCTCACTGCAAGGCCTAGGACAGACCTGGAAGGTGGACACAAGGAAGCCAGGTTTGCGACTGGGAGAAGTGGGTGGGCCAGGTGTGGAGCATGCCTTGGTCTAGGCAGACAGAGGTCAGACCTGTCGGCAGTGCCCTGGTTAGAGTGCTGAGCAACATATTGGCCTCCCTGATCCCTTACCTCCTGGTTGGAGCCGTCTGAGTGCTGACCCCAACGGTAGCCATGCTTGCCTCTGAGGCAGGGCCAGCCCTAAGAGGGCATCTGTGCTGTGGTGCCCCTGCTGTGTGCCCCTGGCCCTACTTTCCCTGCCCAGGTGCCTTGAGAGGCAGAGATGTGTATCAGCGGGAGGTTAGGGGAGACCCTGGCCTCCTCTCTTACAAAACTAGAGGCCTTGCTCAGTGCTGTGTAGCGCTTCCTGAGGTGGGGCTGTAGCCTGCGAGTGAGTCAGGGCTGGGTCTGGGCCTTGCCCCAGTCACGCTGTGGCCACTCCTCCACCTTTGTGTTACCCTGAGGATCAGGCAGGGACACGAGGGTCTGCTTGCTTGTCCTCCTCCCCAGCACTGGGTGGGAGCTCTCATGGGTCAGCACCAAAGGTGTCTCTGCCTGCTCCTGCTGGAGACTTTCCTGCCATCAAGCACCCAGCCCCTGACTGGGCTCCTCTGGGCCCCTTCTGCCCAGGCAGGAACACAGTACTTACCCTGTGGTTGAATGGGGACAAGCTGTCATTTCTCAAAAACAGTTGGAGGCCACACAAACACCTGAGGTCCAGAGTCCTGCCCCAGGAAGGTGCATGTCAGGTTGTGTGCTCAGCTGGCCCTTGGCCTGGGGCCCTGTGCCCACTCGGACCTTTGTGGGCCAACTGTAAAGAGGACGTGGTTTGAGGTGGAGGACCCCTAGCTTGCTGAATGGTGGGATGGTCCAACTGAGCAAGGCAGATTAGCCCCCGACCCCACTTCTATCCAGCACTTCTGAGTGCGCCCTGGAGTGGACTCTTCCTGTGAGGCCATTACTGCTGCAGGCCTCTGGCTATGTGTGGTAGCAGCCAGAGGCCTCTGGGAGTGAGGCCAGGCTCCTGGCCTGGGGTGCTCCAGCCCCACATAGCTCTGGCCTGGGCAGGGCCAGCTTTGCTTGCTCCTGTCTGTGGCCTTCCCCCACCCACTGTCTGGAGGGGCCGGTCTCTGGATGGTCTTGAGAGTTTGGCCCTGCCTGGTCCATCTTCAATTGTAAATGGGGAGTAGGATATATGGGTGGAAGAGAGGGTTGGGATGGGATGTGGGTCTCAGCTACTGGGCCAAGGTAGACAAGAGTTGCTCAGAGTAAGGGGCTGGGGCTTGCCCTGGGCCCTGGGCTGTGAGGCTGGCTCCTGAGGAGCTGGGCTTGGCTGCATCATTGGGTATCTGCCAGGGCCCTGGCTTGCCCCTGGACAGGGCTTCTTTTTGGCCCTGCCCAAGATTCTTACTGCCCAGGGGCTGGGGTGGGGCTAGCCCTGGTCTGTTGGTGCCTGCTCATGAGGGTGCCTGTCTCCTGTTCTGCCAGGTGCCACCACCTCCAGGATTCTTTGTTCAGCTCTGACAGCGGCTTTAGCAACTACCGTGGCATCTTGAATTGGTGTGTGGTGATGCTGGTGAGTAGGATGGTATCTGGGATTAGGAGTCCCTACAGCCAGGTGGGGTTCAGCCTGAGGCTGGCCTTTGCCTGGGCATAGGCTCTGCCTGCTGAGGGAGGGGGGGCCAGAGCCTGTGTGGCTGGGTGTGTGGGACACTGGGCTGGTGGAGAGAGAGTTGTGGTGGCAGTCCTTGCAGTGGCCACATATCAGGGCTCCTGTGGGCTACACATTCGATGCTTGTCCTGGTTGAATTCCAGGAGAGGCCTGCAGAGGGTAGTGTGAGAGGCCTTTGTGCTGTGAGCTGTCCCTAAGGGGCACAGGGGTCTCCCCAGTGGCTTTGCTGGGCGAGTGTGGCAGAGCAGGGAGAAGTGGACAGGCTGGGTGGCTGGCCCTGGGCTGGTAGGCTGTGGGGCTGTGGATGGGGTGCTCTGTGGGCACAGGGCCTCCCAGGCATCGTGTGTGAGTGGTCTTGGGGGTCCAAGAAAAGTTACCTCTGCTATTCCCAAATGGCCCTTGTGGGCGTGGTGCCCCCTGGCAGGCCTGGCCTGGGGGGAGCAGGGGTCGGAAGATGGCTCTTGGGCTCAGCCTGTCAGCCCCAGGCCACGGCTCTAGAGGCCCCCGGCCCCTCTCCCTCAGCCTTGGTCCTAGGCACCCCTCAGCAAGGTGATTAGAAGGAGCCCCTGCCTCCACCTCACCCTGTGGCCTGACTGAGGCCCTTGCTTCTGGGGCCTGGTACCTGCTGTCACCTTGTTGGGGTGGGGCCAGCAGCCTTGGTTGGAAGCAGCTGGAGCCCAGGGCTCAAAGGGGCAGCCTGCAGGGTTGGGCAAGGGGCAAGGGCTTGTCTGGGCCTTGCTGATGCGGCCTGAGGCCTTTGACCCTTGCCCGGACGCGTCTGTGGGTGCGGTCCCATGGCTACCCATGTGGAAGGGGCTCCAGGCACACCCACACCCTCCCTGCCTGTGGTCCCAGGAGGCTCCCCGGGAGCTGCTGCAGGGGGACATGCAGCCTGGTGGGTAAGAAGCTGGCTGGGCAAGGGGACAGTGGGCCGGACACCAGCCCAGCCCTCAGATGATGTGTCCTTGGCCTCCAGAGGCCATTCCTGTACCAGCCTAGGCTCGTCAAGAGGCAGCCGTGCGGAGTGAGCCCTCTACAGCCTAAGGAGCACTGTCTGTTCTTCTGCAACCCACTGGGCCTGCCTGTCTCTTTCGCGCAGCCCCAAAACTTTTCCCCTGCTTTTGGTGCCTCTGCCACCCCAACCTGCAGGAGACGTGCATCCTGTGCTTCGGGCTGCTGGCTGTGTTCCCTCTGTAGTCTGGGCCTTGAGGTGGGCGCTGCCCATTAGCAGCTTCATCTTCTGCCTGCTGTTGGCTCTCAGGACAGGCCACCACTGGGCAGACAGTGTCGGGCCACGTTTGTCCTGGCAGGAGGCTGGTGGGTCAGGCTTGCGGCTGGGGGAGGGCAGAGTAGGGGCCCCTGTGTCTCTCAGCTTGTCACCTCATGAAGGCTTCCGTGACCAGCCAGGTAAGTGTCCCTCTGCAGCGTCACTTTTCTGCAGAACCTACCATGAACCATGCACAGAGCCTGACTTGGGGTGGTTGGCAGGGTCTTTGCCTCATGGAATGGAGATGGAGGCCCCTGTCGTGCAGAGGGAAGCCAGGAGCCCAGCCCCAGCCTAGAGCCAGGAGCCCCTTTTGACAGAGGCTCTGTCCTTGGAAGCTGCTTTGGGGCCAAGTGCCCAGGTTTGGAGTGCTGCAGAACAGCTGAGGCAGGCAGGGGTGTGAGTACCGGGTGACGCCGGCCCCTCAGGACTCTGGCCAGCTTCTTCCCACTCTCCCCCAGAGTGCGGACCCTGCGTGCAAGTGGGCAGCTTCTTTGGTCCAGTTTGGGCTTTGGGGCCGTCACTCTGGCCTTGAGTGCCTCACCAGCTCAGCAGGATGGCCAAGGGCTGCTGGGCAGTGGGTCTTTTTATGTTGCTGCAGACACAGACATCTGGGAGGTGCCTGGTGTGAGGGGGCAGTGCTAAGGGACTTCCTGTCCCTGCACTGCTGCGAGGTGAGATGGGTGGTGTCTTGGAACTTGCTGTGGAGATCAGAAAGGCTGGGCCTGCAGGACCAAGGCTGCTGGCCTAACCCAGGGCTCCTGCCCCCACAGGTCTTAGGAGGAGCTGAGGGGGGGTGTGCCCTGTGGCCAGGGCTCATGGGCTGTGCCCCTCCTCTCTCTTGCAGATCTTGAGCAATGCACGGTTATTTTTAGAGAACCTCATCAAGTGAGTGTCTTCACCAGGGCCCTGAGGCCCAGCCCCACCCACTGCCAACTCAGGCCCTGCCCCTACCTGCCCAGGCCCCACCCACCCACCCAGGCCACACCCCACCTGCTCAGGCTCTCCCTGAGCTGCTCATTCCCTGTCCATCCCCAGGTACGGCATCCTGGTGGACCCCATCCAGGTGGTGTCTCTGTTCCTGAAGGACCCCTACAGCTGGCCTGCCCTGTGCCTGGTTATTGGTGAGTTGGGCGCAGAGGACAGCCTTCGGTGGGGACAGACCTGACCTGGGCCTGAACTTGCCCTATGGCGCTTCTGTCCTCAGTGGCCAACGTCTTTGCTGTGGCTGCGTTCCAGGTGGAGAAGCGCCTGGCAGTGGTAAGCAGTGTCCCCACGCCCCCTGCCTGGCCCAGAGGTCTGCTCTCCTCACCAGGCCTGGGCTTAGGGCAAGGCACCTGCTCATCTACTGCATTTCAGGCTGTGTGTGGCTTTCTTGGGAGGGGGCCTAACCCCAGGCCTGGTGGCCCTTCCCCAGGGAGACCCTTTGCCCAGGGAGTGGGGGCCCTGGCTGAGTGCCCTGCACCCCCGACCCACCCCAGGGTGCCCTGACGGAGCAGGCAGGGCTGCTGCTGCATGTGGTCAACCTGGCCACCATTCTCTGCTTCCCGGCGGCTGTGGCCTTGCTGCTCGAGTCCATCACTCCAGGTGCGCCCCCAACCCACTCCCACCCCAGCCTGTCTTGGGGGCTTGCAGGAGAGACCCAGGCCAGCTACAGGAGTCGACCCTGTGGCTGTGGCTCTCCTGTGGGCAGTGTGGGAGGGCTGTGGCCTGAGCCTCCCTCTCCTGCAGTGGGCTCCGTGCTGGCTCTGATGGTGTACACCATCCTCTTCCTCAAGCTCTTCTCCTACCGGGATGTCAACCTGTGGTGCCGAGAGATCAGGGCTATGAAGGCCAAGACTAAGGCTGGTGAGGGGCTGCCCGGGGCTGGGGCCACCGAACCTGCCTGCCAGGGGCCAGGCCTGGGCAGCAGTGTGGCCTCACTCTCCCCTCCCCTGCTCGTAGCTTCTTCAGGTAGGGCAGCCAATGGAGGAGCTGCCCACTGCACGGTGAGCTACCCGGACAACCTGACCTACCGTGGTGAGGACCCTACAGAGGGCTCAGCACTGAAGGGCAGTGGGGGGACAGCAAGGGCCAGGCCTCTGCTGGTGCGAGCCCCACCCCTCCCATTCCAGATCTGTACTACTTCCTCTTTGCCCCTACTCTGTGTTACGAACTCAACTTCCCCCGCTCCCCCCGCATCCGAAAGCGCTTCCTGCTGCGGCGGCTCCTTGAGATGGTGAGGTTTGGAGGCTGGGGGGCAGCGAGGGGCTGGGGGGCCACCAGGTGCTAGGGGGGCTCAGCCTGCTGCCCTTTACTTTCTCCCCCAGCTGTTCTTCACCCAGCTCCAGGTGGGGCTGATCCAGCAGGTATGTGGGCAGGGCTGGGCTGGGCTGGGCTGGGCGCACTCAGTGACGCAGGAGTGCTGATGCTGTGCCCTCCTTTGCAGTGGATGGTGCCCACCATCCAGAACTCCATGAAGCCCTTCAAGGTGAGCAGTCAGGCTCTCCTGTGGCCGGGCGCGCGGGGCGGGGGGGGGGGGGCGTGTGGGGGTGCAGCCAAGGGAGCCAGCTGAGTCCTGTCTCTGCAGGATATGGACTACTCACGCATCATTGAGCGCCTCCTGAAGCTGGCGGTGAGCAGCCTGGGCGGGTGGGGCAAGGCACGAGGGAGTGAGTGAGGGTGTTCTGGAACCTGGCACCTGCTCCTCAACAGGTCCCCAACCACCTCATCTGGCTCATCTTCTTCTACTGGCTCTTCCACTCCTGCCTGAACGCCGTGGCTGAGCTCATGCAGTTTGGAGACCGGGAGTTCTATCGGGACTGGTGGTGGGTGGCCTTGGGTGTGAGGCTGGGGGCTGGGGTGGGTCATGGTGCAATTTGATCACCTGCTGTCCCTTGACTCCTAGGAACTCTGAGTCCGTCACCTACTTCTGGCAGAACTGGAATATCCCTGTGCACAAGTGGTGTAGCAGGTGGGCATGGGCGTGAACGTGGTGTGTGGTGGGTGGGTGGCTCTGTGTTCCTGGACTGCGGCGCCTGTCCCACGGCCTCCTCCCTCCACAGACACTTTTACAAGCCCATGCTCCGACGAGGCAGCAGCAAGTGGGTAGCCAAGACGGGGGTGTTCCTAGCCTCGGCCTTCTTCCACGAGGTCAGTGCTCTCTGTGCGTATCCTGCTTCATCCTGGGGTGGGTATGGTACTTGAAATGGCTGACGCTCCTCTCACTCCCACCCCAGTACCTGGTGAGCATCCCCCTGCGCATGTTCCGCCTCTGGGCCTTCACTGGCATGATGGCTCAGGTGAGCATCCCCCATGTGGCTTCCTTGCCTGCCCTCTTCCCTGCACCCTGGGAGCAGCCAGCACTGTGGTCACCTGACTTTGGTCCCCCGTGTCCCCAGATCCCGCTGGCCTGGATTGTGAGCCGCTTCTTCCGGGGCAACTACGGCAATGCAGCTGTGTGGCTGACACTCATCATTGGGCAGCCAGTGGCCGTGCTCATGTATGTCCACGACTACTACGTGCTCAACCATGAGGCCCTGACGGCAGGGGCCTGAGCTGCTCTGGGGCCAGCCCTCCTCACTGCCGCCTCCTCATGTCTGCCTCACTGTCCACAGCTAGAGCCTGCCACTGCCTGTGTTCTGGGGAGGGGGCCTGGCTGCCCACACCTCCTCTCGGCCACCGGGAGGTCTCTCTGCCCCTATGGGGCTCCCTCCTATCGCCTCAGGGATGGCGGATGGGGCACAGGCCAGTGCCAGCAGGTGCCAGTGCCCTAGGAATCCGTGCTGATCCTGCCCGAGGGTCTGAGGATATCAATAAAATGCTGTCCAGAGTGACCTCCCTCAGCCTGGTGGGGGCGTGGGGCCAGTGGGAGGGGATGGCCCACATCACATGGGGTCCCACAGGGTGTGGGGGCAGCTGCTCCAGGGGGCTAGGAGACAGGTCCTCTGCCCCTAGGCTGTGCTGTGGTGCTCTTGGGAGAGAAATCTGGGTCCCATTGGCCTCCCCGGTGCCCATGCCCTGCTGGGGTGCTATGCCCTGGGAAAGGCTGCCCAGCTGCAGCTGGGCAGGGCACAGCCAGAAGGGGAGGCAGTGTCCTCAGTGGTGGTATGAGGCTGAAGTGTGGGGAGGAGAAGGCAGGTATTGGCAGTCAGGCAGACCCCTCGCTCCATGCCAGGGTTGGCGACTCACTGCCTAAAAGGGCTCAGCTGTAAGACTTCCTGTTCACTCACTGCCTGTTAATCCTATGTGTGAGGCGGGGGCTCAGAGCTCCGAGGTGCCGTGTGTTGGGGGCTTGGAAGAGGACACCTAAGGACCTCTATCAGTGGATCACTGGAGGCCAGGGTGTGGAAGAGGGTCAAGAATCCAGACCAGCTGTGGAGGCCAGCTGAGGCTCTATGACAGGGCTGCAGAAGCCATGGGGGCAGAGTCCATGGGCCCTTGGGGAACTGGGGCAGCCATATGCTGGGGTGCCCATATGGGGGTGGGCACAGGGCCTTGGGGTGGGGGCTCTGTCTCTCTTGGATGAGGTGGGCAGCCTGGCCAAATCTTTGCCTGGGATCTCCCTCACTAGCACATGCTTCCACACAGAGGCTCACAGACATGGGTGCCTGCCCAAGCATCCGCAGTCTGCACCTCCTGAGTGCTGCTGGCCTGAGACTGGACCCTTCCTGGGCCTAGAAGAATCCCACAGCTTCCCTGGGCTTCAGCCTGCCTGCCCCGCCCCACTCAGTTCTCCTGGTGCTAGGGCTGGGTAGTCCACATGGTGCAGCCTGAGCACAGCTCAGGACACTCCCGCTCCTCTCCTGCACTGGGCCATGGTGGCACTGTGGGGAGAAGGGCTACCTGGGGTGCCCTTTGGACCCCAGGATAGGCAGCATCCCCGTGGCCCCTGCCTCTGAGATGGCCACCATCCTGGGCCCCGCTGAGGAGGGTGAGTAGTGGGTGAACTGGGGGCATGGGAGGTCAGGTGGGCCGCTTTGGCCTGGCTCCTCCCATACTGTGTGCCCCCCCCCCAACCCCTTGTCTGGCAGAGCTCAGGAGTCAGACCTGGAAGGCAGGGTGCGTTCCCACTGCCTTTCCTTTGGTTAGACCCCACGGGGCTGAGCCCCTCCCCTACCCCAAAGCTGGTGCAGCACCTTATGAATGCAGAGCAGAGATGGCTCTGCTGGGAAGACACAATGGTGCACCTGTTGTCTCACCTGCCCTGGTGGGAAGATTCTGGGGAAAGGGTTTCCTGAAGGCCCCACTGACCCCTCCCTGGTCCTTTAAGAAAGAATTCTGAGCAAACACAGGTCCTGTGGAGTCCTGTGGGCACGGGTGTGCTGGGGGCATCGGCCCTCCCTTCAAGGAGGCAACTGCAGCCCAGACACCCAGAACCTTCTGAGACCCCTGCGCCCTGCCCTAGGCCCCTCCTCATGCACCCTTGCCCACCTCACATCCCAAGGCGAGAGGAAACAGACACAGGAGGCCACAGCATAGAGCCTGTCCTTTATAGATCTCTGCCTGTCTTGTCCGTCCGTCTGTGTATTTATCTGTATATCTCTACGGAAGGGGAAAGAGGGACTCTCGTGTAAAAATCCAAAATACAATTCTGACTATGAACACCTGCAATACTGGTCAGTCCAAGTAAGGGGGGATGCCCCAAGCTAGCCTGGCACTTGGGGCCACACCCAGCCCCCAGCTGGCCCCAGGTGCCAGGCTCCCCAAGACCAGCCCTGCACCAGGAGTGGGAGGAGGGCTCGGGGCGGCCCTCCTCCTGGGGCTTCTAGGAGACAGTGGGGTCCTTGGCTTTTGGGGGCTCAGAGCCCGTCAGCAGAGAGATGGTGGGGTCGTCTGCGTAGTCATCCCCCTCGGAGAAGTAGGAGCCCTCCCCCAGCTCGAAGAGCACCGGCATGTCGCTGTTGCCCACGTCCACAGAGCCCGGGTCCACCAGGAAGAGGGGCTGCGCCGTGTAGTGCACCAGCTGCTTCCCTGGGGGCGGGGGGCCGGGTCAGGGCACTGGCGGGTAGAAACAGGGTGCAGGGTCGGGTGGGGAACACGTGGGCTCGGCTCACCTGAGTCGGGGCTGTTGCTCTCTGCCTCAAGAGGCCTGGGTGGTTCCTGGGGAGAGAGGAGCTCCTGGATCTGCTGGGGCAGGAGGGTTACAGTGAGGGATCCTGCTTGTCCCGGGTTCCCCAATCCCCCCATGCCACCTACGCACGCTGGCCAGGCTGCTGTCAAGGTCAGGCAGGCTCATGTCGGGCACAGTCACCGAGGGGCTGAAAAGCTGTGGGGAAGGGAGGGTGGTCAGGCTGCGCCCGAGAGCAGGGAGGGTGCAGGTGCACGCAGGGACGGGACTCACATCCAGCAGGGCGCTGGTGTCCACGCTGAAGCCGTGGTTTGTAAGCATGGTCTGCAGGTTGTCCAGGTTGGAGTCCATGGCGTCCAAGTGGTCACTGAGCTCGGTCCTGGCCAGTGAGTGGGGCAGGTGAAGCGGTGCCCCGGGCACCCCCACCCAGACGCCTTCCTGCCGGCACTCACACCCGCCTGCCGGAGAAGGGCTCCCCTCGGCCACACGCACCCTGCTTGGGCTCAAGGGAGGCCGTCTGAGGTGGGGCCCCTTCACACACCCAGTGTGGGCCCAGTGGGGCAGTATGTGTATGGACAGGGCTGGTATGCTTGGCCACTGAGGGGAGAGTGGCTCAGGCCATGCTGGCTCGTCCTGTCACCGTGAGGCCCTGTAAGGCCTCTGGTAGCACTTCAGGTTGGATCAAGATGGCAGGGGAACGAAGGAGGGGTTCGGAGCCCAGAAGGGGCTGGGGGCACAGTTTTTCAGGTTTGACAAGGTCTTGCCTTTGCACTGGAAGACAGTAAGGATGGGGCAAGGGAGCCGTGCTCAGTGTGTGGGCGTCGGCCTCTCCCCTGGTGCATGCTGGGAAAGAGACCCGGCCAGGTCTGGCACCCGTGACCAAGAAGGCCTTGGGCCATCTGGTGCACCCGGCCATTGGGCGGGTGGCCAGGCTGGCTCCTGGGGGTACCCATGGGGCCCAGCCCCACCCTGAGAGGAAGCCAGTCAGCAGCAGTGGCCACACCAGGCTGGGAGGCCTGTCCCTGTCAGTCAGTGACCTGGGACTCTGGCTTGGGCCCTAGAGCCTGGGAGGGCCACTCCCCGCTGCAGAGGGCCCGGGACACCTGTTCACCAGGTAGTGCCCAGTGCTTCTGGCCAGGCTGGGGTCTGGTCTGCGGCTGGGGAGGGGCCCGAGCTCTGGCGGAGCCCTCCTCCCTCCCCAGTGAGGACGGCGCTAACCCTGGCTGGACTCGGCCATGTAGAGAGGATGAGGGGCAGGGGAAGAGGCGGGCGACCCCAGACATCTGTGGAGTGCGAGCCAAACTGCAAGATACAAAGACAAGAGCCCCCGGATTGCAGGTGGGGGCTAGGTGGGCTCCATGCCCCCCACCCTTGCTCACTCAGCCTCTAGGGCAGGGCCTCTGCTGGGCAGCAGGACAGACACACGGACCCAGCAGCCTGTCGCAGGAGAGGGTGACAGCAGCAACCATGGTGGCGTATGTGTGTCGAGGGGGCTGATTGACAGGGGCCTGCATATGGGGGACACACAGAGAGCAGGTGCAACAGGCCTGCCTGGCCACACACCCTTGGCTTCTGTGGCAGCAGGACTGTGGGACAACCTGGCCGGTGTCCGTCTTCTTTTGCAGCCCCAAACTCTGAGCTCAGGGCCAGGTCTGCTGACTCACCCCCCGCAACCCCCATGCCTGTAGGCCTGAAGGCCACCCCATGTCCAGCCCTCCATGAGAGTCCTAGCCAGAGGCCTGGCTGTGCTTCCAGTGGCTGTGGGGGTAGGCACTCACTTGTCCAGACAGGCAACGCTGAGGCACTTCTCGGGGGCCGAGGCAGGTGGGGGCGAGGGGGGGCAGGTTCCCACTTCTGTGAGGGGCGTGGCCGAGGCGGCAGGGGCAGGCTCGCTCTCCCGCAGGATAGAGTCGATGAGGGTGGTTGGGGACAAGGGGGTCTCCACAACAGAGGGCGGTTGCCCGGGACTGGCCTCCTCCACCCGGGGGCTCCGGGAAGGGCTTGGGGGCTCCTCCTTGACTCGCACCAGGGGGCTGATGGACAGGGGTCTGCACATAGGGGACACACATTAGCAGGCGCCTCTGCGGGCCCCACCCTTCTCCCGACTCTGCTGGAAGGGTGATGCAGCCCCCACCTCTCATCTATGCTCCCGCCTGGGGAGGCCAAGGGGCTGCTGGGAGCCAGCTCAGTGATGTCGGAGATGATGGGTCCGGAGCTTGCAACAGCATCTGGGGAGTAGAGGCTGGAGCCGCTGTAGGCTGGGGATGGAGCCTGCCATCAAAGGGAGGTGAGCACGTGCGCGTGTGCCCGCAGCACCCACCCACCCAGGCTGGTCTGCTGCACAGGCGCTCACCGAGTAGGGGCCTGAGCCATGGATGTGCTCCAGGGAGTACTGCCTGCCGTACTTGGGCATGGAATGTGCCGAGCTGCTGTCGTTCAACATCAGAGGGCTGCGGGGAAGGGGTGGGGTTAGCTGCCTCTCCGAGGCCTCCGTGGCACCCAGTTCACAGCAAACAGGAGACGGGGCGGCCCAGGGCCTTGTGCTGAGGGGCAGGCATCCCCAGTGCCTCACATCTTTCTCTTCACCCCCAGGATCCGGTTCGACTGCACCAGCGAGATGAGGAACTGGATGAGCTGTGGGGTGGAGAGGCACAGTCAGCCTGGCTGCGGATGGGACCCACTGGGCGCCCCGCCGGCCCGCCTCGTACCTTGTTGACGACTTTCTGCTGCTGGGCGTGCTTCTGCCGCAGGCTGGCCACCTCCCGCCACAGGGCCTCGTTCTCGCTGCAACAGACCAGGTTTGGTCAGCAAGGCTAGATTCTAGAAGCCCCAGGCTGAGGGGCCTCCACAAATATTCCACCCTCACCCGGGCAGGTTGTAGGGCTGTAGGTGACCACATATCACCATGAACCCAGTCGCTGGCCTGTCTCCACCCCAGATGAGGACTGGCTGTGTGATGGAACTGGGGGCTAGGCCAGGGCTTGCTGGCACCACCACTCCTCCCTGCTTGGCTGCACTTCAAGGGGAGGACACACAGAGGTCTCAGGTGGGGGTCAGGAGGGGCCCTGAGCTGTGGAGTCCCAGGGGAGGGGCTGGGGGCTGAGGGAGGATGCAGAGCAGGGCATGCTGGCTGCACCCCAGGATTCTGGCAGAGACCTCCTGGGGCCTTCCTGGACACAGTCAAGGCAGCAGACCCTTGAGCGCTGTCCCCAGCCACCTCTGTCTGACTGAGCCTGAGGACAGGAGGGAAGGTCAGGGGACAGTGGCAGTACAGCTTTTCAGGCTGCAGAGCAATGTATGGGGGTTATCCTGTGGCTTGGGGGGCTCAGGGTCATTGGGCCTGGGAGTGGCTCAGAAGTGGCCGCAAGGGGTGGCAAGGGCCACCTGGGCACTGTCCTCCCAAGCGGGTGAGCAGCACCGTGAGCAGGCCATGGTCTGCCCTTCTGATGGGCCAGCCCTGCTGAGCCCCTTGCACGTCTTCTTGACATGGAATTGATCCTCCTGGCCTCACCTTGAGAGGTGCCCATGTCCTGGAAGGCTAAGTTCACCTGGGCCCATCTCCAGGTGCCACACAGACAGTGGCTTCTGCTGGACTCCAATGTGAGGAGAGTCGGGGTCCAGGAGCCTCCTTCATGACATGAGGGTCACAAGGACTCAGCCCCAAGTGGCTGTGAGGCCATATGAGCCAAAGACAGCCACCCCAGGATGGGGTTCCTGAGGTTCCCAGGGCCCCCAAGGGCATGAGGGGAGACTCAAGCTGGCTGTCCAGGGGTCCTGGCTGGCGGGGAGCATAGGGCTGGTTAAGTGGTGGCCAGACATGCGCCAGGGGCAGGGGTTCCAGAAAGAGCCCAAAATGCTTTCTGCTCCCCAGGCCTGTGGTAGAGGTAGGCAGGAGGTGACGCTGCGCTGAGTGATGCCAGGTGCAGCAGGAGCCAGCAGGAGAGGAGGGTACTGTGGAGGGCAGTGAGGGGGCCCAGCCGCCCTGGCCTGTAGAGAGGGCCTAGAGGGCTGTGTGAGCTTAGAAGGCTGTGCTCCGAGCCTGAGGACGCAGCCTGTGCTCGAAGCCCAGCTCTGCCTGTTGCTGCAAGAACCAGGTCGGAACCCCCCACCCAGGACTCGAGGATGGCACAGCAGGGGCCTGAGGAGGGCATGCAAGTCCAAACCTAATGCTGTGTTTGGAGAGATGAAGGCCTCAGAGCGCCTGTTACAGAAACTGAAGGAGGCAGGGCTGGCAGGAAGAGGCCCTAGGAAGGAGTGGCCAGCTCCTGGCCTGTGTCCCCTCCTGGCTGCTCCCTCCTCTGGCCGCTCCCCAGGGGACCTCCTTGTCCCGCCTGTTCCCTTGCCCACCATGGAACCTACTGCTTCATGGCCAGGAGTTTGGAGTCCATGCTCTCCTGCTTCCCCTTCATCAGCTGTACATCAGTCAGCAGCTTGGTGACACTGTCCTGGCGAATCTTTATGTCATCATTCTTCAGGGTGGACACCTGGGTCCCCAAGGAGAGTAGTTACTGAGATGGCCCCCCAGGGAAGAGGGGAGGGCCTAGGACATAGCGGAAAGGGCCAAGGGGCTGACAGTCGGGGAAGGGGCCGTCACTGCAGCGGCTGATGGGAGAATGGGCGGGGGGAATCCACGATGGACAAGCGAGGAGGGGAGGCCCGTCAGGAAGAGGCTCGGTGCAGCCAGGCCAGCACGCGCATGCTGCACTGCCCTCGGCAGTGGATGGTCCCAGCAGGACACTGAATGGATGTGGCTTCCCTTCACAGCCTGGAGGGAGGTCCGAGGATGCTGGGAGAGGGAGGCTGGCTACTCACACTGGTCACTTTCCTCTTGATGTTCTCAAGGAGCTGCTCCTGGCCGCGCAGGAAGCACGGGTGCTGGAACTCAGTGTCATCCCTCTCTGGTTTGACCAGACCGCCCTGCTCAATGTGGACCACCTTCCGGAAGCCATCTGCACATGATGGGGCAGGGGCAGCTCTGCCTCAGGGCTGGGGACTAGACCCCCAACTGCAGCTTGGCTACTGCCCCAGTGATAGACGAAGGGAGGCTCCTGGGGTAGGGCTGTGCATGGCATGGCTCCAGTCACATCTAGCACTGCCTTCTCAGAGACCCTGCCTGCAGTGGCTGGGTGGTCTTGGTCTGAGGGAGACCCCATGGCCCCACACATCACCTCTTCCCCAACGCATGTGGCTGTGTCCAGCTGAGGCTTCATGAGCTCTTCCCTGGGAACTTTCAGGTTCAGGCCCACGAGGACCCTTCTCGCCCAGGGAAGAGGCACCCCTGCCCCAGGCCCCCCAGGGGCGCTGGGCTCCAGGTCATGCCCCTGGCCAACACAGGGATCAAAACCTGGTGGCTCCATCCTTCACCACAGACCGGGTCAAGGTGCTAGGGTCCTGCTGTCTGTGGTCCACTTTCCAGCCCTGGCACGGCTGCCCAGACCCTTGAGGAGGCCCTCTGTCTCGTCCCCACTTGGAGGGCGGGTACTCACACATGTTGAGCTGCCGCACGAAGCTGGCCATGTTGTTGTGCTTGAAGTACTTGGGCAGCACCTCCTTGGCAAACTGGCCCTGGTCGAACACGTGAAAGCTGTTCCCACTCTGCAGGAGACATGTGGGTAGAGTTGCACGCAGTTGGTGAGGGAGACGGGTGCCCCTCCTCGAGTGGGGGCAGTGCAGTGGGGCTGACCGGAGGTGCAGTTCGCCTCTGGGACCAAGAGCCAGATGTGCCTGGTCTCTGCCTCTCAGCTGATATACTTGCTGGAGGCCCAGGACTGGCTGATGGGAACCCTGTGGCCAGAGAGAGATGAGGGACCTCACCACAGCTGGGGAGCCCCTGTCCCAGGGTTCTGGAGGTTCCTGAATGCCAAGTTTACATTCATGAAACACCACAGCACTTCAGGCCCATTCTTTAGGAAATCCCATTTTAGCTTTAAACAGCAATTTTCCCCTAAGAATAGCCAAGACCCCAAATTGAGGCAGCCAAGAAAATGGAAGCCTAATTTTAGTTACTCTGGAGGAAAACACAGAGTTGTGTTCAGAAACGCAACTTCATTTTTCTTTTGGCATCTGAGATAAGAAACGGAAATTGTAAAAAAAACTGCCACACTACGCTTCTTCCATTTCTTTCCTGACTTTAGTCCAAAAGCTCCTAGGAGGAGCCATGAAGCAGACCTCTGTGCTAGCAGGAGCCCTGGTGGCCAGTGCAGGGTGCTGGAGCAGCCCAGACGGCCGGAGGTGGGTGTCCACGGGGGAGGGGCAGGGACGGGATACGGCTCCCCTGAGACTCTATTAAGGACACTGGGAGCAGGCTTTCCCCGGTCAGAGGAAGGAGTTAAAGGACCGACAGGGAAAAGCCAGAGCGGCCCCTGTGGTGCTGCAGCAGAACTGGAGCACTGCTTCCCACGGCACACGTGGGTCTTAAAACGAACACAGTCACACACATGAGGTGAGTGGCAGTGGTGCAGAAACGACCTCTGAAACTTTCCTCCTCCAAAGAAGCAGTAAGAAAACTGGCAAAAAACGTTAGCCAACTCTTTCTGAACTCTGAAAACTAACCAAAAGAGTGTGGCACTACGGGGAGCATTTACTGAAGAAAAATGGTGGAATCTCAGGAAGATTAGTGAGCTGTGTGGCATGTGAACTTGCCCTAATGCTGCCTCTTCTCCTGTAACTGTGAAAACCAACAGCAGAAATCACAGGAAGAACCAGCATCCTGGCAGCCACTGGGGTGGGAGTGGGGCTGGAGCTCCTTCAAGGCCCCATTCCCAGGCAAGTATTATTTGATCTGAGCCCCCTGGAAGATTCCACTTACAAGGCTGTCTTTGTTTGATTTGACCCAAAGCTCTCCCAGTATAAAAAGCCTTCTCCCTAAGGATATTTGTTGGAAACATGTAGAGGCAATTTTTAAACTTTGTGGCTGCCTAAGACAGTGGATAACAGTTGGTACAAACAACAAGCTAACCAGAAAACTTGAAGAGCTGGGGAATGAGATATTGAGAGGGGCTTTGAAAACTCTGAAACATTCCTGGGAATCCAGAAGGAATGTGCACGTGCAGGGCTGTGTGCACACTCAGGACAGACCTGAGAAAGCACCACTCTCCTGTCTCCGGCTGACTGAGGCTCTGCATAAGCAAGAGGTGGAGGATAAGGGAGAGCTGTCAGCTGTCTGGCTGAGCACTGAAGGCATGCCCCAACACATACACAGAGTCCCCCAGCAAAGGCTGGGAGGTTCACAGGTTCCAGGCATTAAAGGAAATTTCTGCCCCCTTCACTAACCTGATCACTGAGTGAACTGAGCAAAGACTTAAGTGGCCACAAACAACAAAGAATACAAACTGTCAGAATTAGTTCAGAAAAGTCACTAAACAAATGGCAACAGCTATAAGAAAAAGCAACAGCAACAAATCTGGGGGAGGGATAGTATAATCTGATACCCAGAGTTTAATATATGCCACATTATATTAATTGAAAGTCCAGTTTTCAACAAAAAATTATGAGCCATGCAATGGAACAAAGCATGGCCCATACACAGGAAAAAAGAACCTACCCCTTAGAGGCCCAGGTGTTGCACTTAGCAAAGACTTTACATCAGCTATTTTAGATATGTTCAAAGAACAAGACGAAAACTGCAGCTAAGGAAGGAAAGCATGAGAGTATCTTTAAGAGTGGAGAATAACGGTAAATATAGAAATTACAAAAATGAACGAAATCAGAATTCAGGAGTTAAAAAGTATAACTCAGATTTAAAATTCACTAGAGGGGCTCAAAGAGCAGATTTGAGCAGGGATAAGAAGGAATCAGCAGACACGAAGACAGGTCAATTAAGATAATCCAGTCTGAGGAACAGAAAGAAATAAAAATAAAGAAAAATGAACAGAGCTTCAGAGATGTGGGATACTAGCAAACACCAACATATGCATAATGGGAGTCCCAGAAAGAGGAGAGAAAGAATATCTGAAGAAATAATGGCCCTAAACTTCCCAAATTTGATGAAAAATATCCAGGAAGCTAAACAAACTCCAAGTAGCATAAACCCAAGGAGATTCACACCTAGATACTTAAACTGTAGAAAGCAAAGGACCAAGAGAGAATCTTGAAAGCAGCAAGACAATAGACTCATCATGTACAAGGAATCCTCCTAAGATTAACAGCTGATTTCTCATCAGAAACTGTGAGGTCAGAAGACAGTGGGATTACATACTAAAGGAGCTGGAACAGAAAAACCCTGTCAACCAAGAATTCCACATCCAGCAAAACTATCCTTTGAAAATGAAGGCGCAGGTTCCACTTCTGGGATGGCAGTGTGAAGAGGTCCAATGAACTACTCCCAAGTGAAGCAAGCAAAGCTTGTTTAAATCATTCAGTCTCTGAAACTGTCTCAAAGGCATATAACAAATGAAGAAACATTTATTCAAGAAAACTTACTAAAACACTGTAGAACAGTGAGTCTGTAGCGTATGAGCCACAACCCACTTGCTCCAATTTGCCCTGACTGACACTCCACTCTGGGAGGGCATGGCCAAAAGGATGGGGGTTCCTCTCCCCTCAGTTTCCAATGGAGGCTTACTGGATCTCACTGAGAGGGGAAGACCACCAGCATTTCTCATCCTGTCCAACTCCAAGCTGAAGAGGCTAAATTCCTGGTGATTGAAACCAGAAGGTTGGGGGTCCCCTTCTCCACTTTGCTCCCACTCACAGAATGCAAGTTCTCCCCCTGGCATGGCAGGTCGAGAATCTGGGGGCTCTGACTGCCCTCCCCCCAGCTGGCACATAAGGTAGAGTGTCCATGCCGGGAGAGGCAAGCTGAGAAGACTAGAAGCTACCGCCCTGCCCAGGGCGCAGAGGAGCGGCTCAGAGAACAGGTCCAGGGGAGAGGAACTCCAGAGGAAAGAGAGTTCTGACACTCTCCCCAAGGGAACTCACGTTATTGGAAACAGAGCGTGGGCAAGTTCAAGCCCAAGGGTGCTCTTGAAAACAGTAGCTCCTCTAAATCAAGAGTAACAAGCCAAACCATGGTCAGCTGTTCACACAGGAAAGCGACAGTTAAGAGCCCTCCTGGGGTCAGAACAAACCTCAAACACTGACCTTAAAAACTACCACCTCAAATGTAATTGGATCAGACTGTGAAGAATTTGTGCCCTAGGACACTGTCAAAAACAATAGAGCAATCAGGCAGTAATTATAGAGCCTAAAGGCTGGGTATAATACCTTACGAGGCAGTGGACTAACAGAGATCAAAGAAAGAGGAAAGAGAGCCTGTTAAAATAGCCCAGCCAAGTCACAAAACAGGCAAGCAGAACCACAAACAATCACAGGAGGCGAGGAGTCACCCAGAAGTGCTACAGCACATTACCTAAAATGTACTTTTTCAACAAAATTACAAGATGTAAGGAAACAGTAAAGTGCGACTCATACACAGGGGAAAAAAGAGAAAGCAATAGAAACTGCCTGTGAGAGAACCACACGTCAGACTTAACCAAGACTTCAAAGAAGCCATTATAAACATGTTCAAAGAACTAAATAAAATCAAGAAGTAAAGGAAGGCGAGATGACAGTGTCTCATCAAGCAGAGAATAACAATAAAGAGACAGGAATCATAAAGAAGAGCCACACGGAAATTCTGGAGTTAAATGGTACAGTAACAGAAATGAAAAATTCACCAGTAGGGCTCAACCGTATATGTGAACTGGCAGAAGAAAGAGTCAGTGAACTTGAAAATAGATTGATAGAGATTCTGAAAGCTGAAGAACAGAGAGAAAATAGAATAATGCGAAGTGGACAGAGCCTCAGAGAACACTGGGACACCTTTAACTGCAGCACCATCCATGTAAGGGGAGTGCCACATGGAGAGGAGAAAGAAAAGGGACCAGAACAAAGAGTCAAAGAAATAAGGCCCCACAACTTCTCAAACTGGCTAAAAAATATCCATAAACATGGTATGTGTCTCCATTTACTTAGGTCAACCTAGCTTCCTTTCATAAGTGTCTTTACAGTTTTATAGTTTTGGCATACAGATCCTCTGCACATTTTATTAGGCTTCTATTTAAGTACTTAATTTTTTTGAGCAACTGTGATATTTTTAAAAAAACCGATTTCCTATTGTTCATTGCTTGGTATGTAGAAATACATAGATTTTTGTGTGTTGACCTTGTATCTGGTGATCTTGCAAAACTCATTCTTTAGTTCTAGGAGTATTTCTGTAGATTTCCTAGGGTTTTCTATGTAGACAACCATGCTATCTGTGAATAAGGACAGTTCTATTTCTTCCTAATATATATGCCTTTAATTTCTTTTTTTTGTGTGTGTCTTAACGTACGGGACAGGACTTCCAGTACGATGTTGGCTAGAACTGGTGACAACGACATTGTGCCTTGTTGAGATCTTAAGGGGACAGCATTAAGTCTCCCAGCATTTATAAGGATGAAGTTAGGTGCAGGTTTTGTGGGCCCTTTTCTTTCAGGCTGAGGAAGTTCTCTGCTATCCCTAGTTTCCTGAGGGTTTTTTTTTTTTTTAATATAATGAATATCAAATTTTGTCAAATGCATTTTCTGCATCAAATAATATGGTCATGTGTTTTTTTCTTCTTTAGATTGTTAACA